ATTGATTTATTCTCTTCCTTTCTCTCTGCACTCTGCTCTGGTTCCTCAGTAAATGACTGCCACTCCTGGCTAGGACACTAATCTCCTCCTCTCCTCTCGCTCTCGCTCTCTCTCTTAGCTCACACTTCTCCTGGGGAGTCACTGTGGAGAAAACAGCTCAACCCGAATTAGACATACAGGTGTAGAGAGGCAGTTAGCTCAATTAGCATTTGAAGAAGTTGTATAGTTGTGAAGTAGGACTCTATTCTACTGTCTACAGGTGCAACATATCAGAACATAGGAAAAAGGGTTGAGAGAACTCCATTTGGAACGCTTTGCCGAAGCACTGTATTTTAATTGTAGGTTTTTTTAAAGGGTTGTGATTCCACATCATTGGATCTTCAGTGTGTGGTGTATAGAAGCACAACGGGGATTGAGTGCCCACCATATTGTGCTTTTGCCAGATCGATCGACGTAATGATCGACAGTCTCTCTCCACCTCGGGGAAATGTTCTTGCAACACACTCGAGGCCAAAAGGATCACTTGTAACACCTTGTGACAAAGGAGCTACAAGGAAAATGACTCCCATTTACCATGGCCGGTCCTCATGTCATGTTCTTGATTGTTGAAACGGCTGTTTTTATTGCCACTGAAATGTTTTGTTAAAGTAAGACAGGAGTGAGGACATTTAACTGTTTCGATTGGCAGATAAATTGTATGTACATGTATCAAATTGTCAAAGTTTGACCGAACAGCTAAAGAACCATAACTTCAGGTTGTGTTAACCCACTGGGCTAAAGCCCAGGCATTAGCTCTGAGAGCTTACATGAGTCTTCAGGTATCAGGCAAGGCATCTAATTAGAAAAGCATAAGGTAGTTCACCAAACACTTCTGTCACATAGGCACACTAGATACAGTACAGTATACAGTTGAAGTCTGAAGTTTACATACACTTAGGTTAGAGTCATTAAAACTCGTTTTTCAACCACTCCACACATTTCTTGTTAACAAACTATAGTTTTGGCAAGTCAGTTAGGACATTTCCTTTGTGCATGACACAAGTAATTTTTCCAACAATTGTTTACAGACAGATTATTTCACTGTATCACAATTCCAGTGGGTCAGAAGTTTACAGACACTAAGTTGACTGTGCAATTAAACAGCTTGGAAAATTCCAGAAAATGATGTCATGGCTTTAGAAGCTTCTGATAGGCTAATTGTAGACCTTCCAAACGCCTGAAGGTACAAACAATAGTACGCAAATATAAACACTATGGGACCACGCAGCCGTCATACCGCTCAGGAAGGAGACGCGTTCTGTCTCCTAGAGATGAACGTACTTTGGTGCGAAAAGTGCAAATCAATCCCAGAACAACAGCAAAGGACCTTGTGAAGATGCTGGAGGAAACAGGTACAATAGTATCTATATCCACAGTAAAACGAGTCCTATATCAACATAACCTGAAAGGCCACTCAGCAAGGAAGAAGCCACTGCTCCAAAACCACCATAAACAAGCCAGACTACAGTTTGCAACTGCACATGGGGACAAAGATCGTACTTTTTGGAGAAATGTCCTCTGGTCTGATGAAACAAAAATAGAACTGTTTGGCCATAATGACCATCGTTATGTTTGGAGGAAAAAGGGGGTCGCTTGCAAGCCGAAGAACACTATCCCAACCGTGAAGCACGGGGGTGGCAACATCATGCTGTGGGGGTGCTTTGCTGCAGGAGGGACTGGTGCACTTCACAAAATAGATGGCATCATGAGGAAGGAAAATTATGTGGATATACTGAAGCAACATCTCAAGACATCAATCAGGAAGTTAAAGCTTGGTCGCTAATGGGTCTTCCAATGACCCCAAGCATACTTCCAAAGTTCTGGCAAAATGGCTTAAGGACAACAAAGTCAAGGTATTGGAGTGGCCATCACAAAGCCCTGACCTCAATCCTATAGAACATTTGTGGGCAGAACTGAAAAAGCGTGTGCGAGCAAGGAGGCCTACAAACCTTACTCAGTTACACCAGCTCTGTCAGGAGGAATGGGCCAAAATTCACCCAACTTATTGTGGGAAGCTTGTGGAAGGCTACCCGAAACGTTTGACCCAAGTTAAACAATTTAAAGGCAATGCTACCAAATACTAATTGAGTGTATGTAAACTTCTGACTCACTGGGAATGTGATGAAAGAAATAAAAGCTGAAATAAATCATTCTCTCTACTATTATTCTGACATTTCACATTCTTAAAATAAAGTGGTGATCGTAACTGACCTAAAACAGGGAATTTTTACTAGGATTAAATGTCAGGAATTGTGAAAAACTGAGTTTAAATGTATTTGGCTAAGGTGTATGTAAACTTCCGACGCCAGATCAGATCTGGCTTGTGTGTGTTTAAAGTGTGTGTTTATGGGTAGGTCTCATCTCTACAGTGTTTGTGCAAGCTGTTGTGTGCTGCATTCCCTATTGTCATAGCTAGCTGAGTTGAGCAGAGGGCCACTCTCAGAGCAGTTCCTCCCTGTTGGCGGATGCCTGGGATCTCTTCCTCCTCTGAGCCTCCCACACATCCACGCACTCACACACATACACACACTATTTCTGTCCCGGCAGCCTGTGGAGCCTCCCAGTTACCCTTCCTTACCCGTCTGCCCTTCTACTCACTCCCCTCTGCTCCACCACAGACCGCCCGTACCTGGTGGTGCATTGCTGAGCTTTTGCCTTCCACAGCCTTCCACCACGACTCTCTACAGGGGAGATTCACTTGACAACTGATTGCACAAGCTGATTTCTGAACAATGCTCCGCAAGATCCCTGCAATGTTATTCTCCTCCCCTCCATCCCCCGCCCGAACTCCCGGAAGTCATCGGCAGCTAGCGCAGCGTTGTTACTCCCCTCTTTGTATTCCATTTGTGCGTGCAAGATGCTATCTCTCTCGTTCTCGTGCACCATGGAGGAGTACAGCAGAGAGGAAATGGAATGTAAGATCTTTTCATCATATTCTCAGAGGAGAAATCTGATTCCGGATCAGGAGTTCACTCTGGGAAGAATTGTAAACTTTCAAATGGAGTCTCTGATTATGTTAAGCATGTAGAAAGGATTGGCTGGAATTTAGCCTTGGAAATTTTTCTTAGTCAAGTGAAGCTCAAAGACTTGAAAAAACTGCAAATCAGCAAGAATATTGTGAATCTCCAAAAGTGTAAAGATGAATCATTGAATATCTTCATGTATTGTATGAATCAACTTGATTACACAGTTTATGTATGATATGAATCAGTGTTTCACAAATAGATGCCAGTTGCTTCTAGATTATTCATAATATATACTGAACAATAATATAAACACAACACGCAACAATTTCTAAAGATTTTACTGAGTTACAGTCAATTGAAATGAATTCATTAGGCCCGAATCTATGGATTTCACATGACTGGGACTACAGATATGCATCTGTTGGTCACAGATACCTTACAAGATAGGGGCATGGATCAGAATACCAGTCAGTATCTGGTGTGACCAGCATTTGCCTCATGCAGCACAACACATCAGGCTGTTGATTGTGGCCTGTGGAATGTTGTCCCACTCCTCTTCAATGGCTGTACAAAGTTGCTGGATATTGGCAGGGACTGTAACACACTGTCGTACACGTCGATTCAGAGCATCCCAAACATGCTCAATTGGTGACATGTCTGGTGAGTATGCAGGCCATTTTCAGCTACCAGGAATTGTGTACAGATCCTTGCGACATAGGGCCGTGAATTATCATACTGAAACATGAGGGGATGGCGACGGATGAATGGCACGACAATGGGCCTCAGGATCTCATCACGGTATCGCTGTGCATTCAAATTGCCATAGATAAAATGCAATTGTGTTCGTTGTCCGTAGCTTATGCCTGCCCATACCATAACCCCACCGCCACCATGGGGCACGCTGTTCTCAACGTTGACATCAGCAAACCACCCACCCACACGACGCCATACACGCTGGTCTGTTGTACTGCCAAATTCTCTAAAACGACATTGGAAGCGACTTATGGTAGAGAAATGAGCATTCAATTCTCTGTCAACAGCTCTGGTGGACATTCCTGCAGTCAGCATGCCAATTGCACGCTCCCTCAAAACTTGAGCCGTCTGTGGCATTGTGTTGTGTGACAAAACTACGCATTTTAGAATGCCCTTTTATTGTCCCCAGCACAAGGTGCACCTGTGTAATGATCATGGCTGTTTAATCAGCTTCTTGATATGCCACACCTGTCAGGTGGATGGATTGTCTTGGCAAAGGAGAAATGCTCACTAACAGGGATGCAAACAAATTTGTTCACAACATTTGAGAGAAATAGGCTTTTTGTGCAATTGGAAAATTTCTGGGATCTTTTATTTCAGCTCATGAAACATGGGACCAAGACTTTACATGTTGCGTTTGTATTTTTGTTCAGTGTTCTAGAAAGAATGGGTTAAGTGCATATGTAGGGCATTGTTATCGCACAGCTTTCAAGAAGCAATTTCGAGCACGCAATATATACTATGTAAGTCATATATGCCATTTAGCAGTCAGTGTCAATGCTTTTCTACAATTACTGTCACTGAAGATACATACTATAAATCAGTATCAAGGATTTTCTACATGACATACATATAAAGGCCTAGGCTATTATGTGTCAGTCAGTCAAATATAGGTAGGATAATGGCCTCTCATTGCTTTGTACTGAGTGACAGTGAAATGTAATAGCTACATAGTCAAAAAATCAATTTAGACCACTGATGCACATGCACAACTTGTCACACACACACACACACACACACACACACACACACACACAGCCACTCTAATGCAGCCAGCCACTCACCGGCCAGGGATCGATTGGTAGGGGATGATAAATTAACCAACACCTCAACAAAAGACGTTAAGCAGAGAGCCCAACGAACCATGCTGCTTTGTAATTACAATACCAAACGAAACATTTGGCATGATGTAGCACCGCCACTGGGCGACATGTGTGTTGGGGTGGGGACAGGCAGGATGGGATGACCGTACAAGAACCTGCTGGCGGTGTGCAAGGAGAAGTGGTGGAGGGGCGCCAGCCGAGCTCTAATGGTAATGAGGACATTGGCTCGCTTCAGAGAATTGTGTGTAATTGAGCTAATGAAAGCATTCTGTTGTCCCTGATTGAACACGTGCCCCAATGTATTCCTTCAAGGAGCAACATGTGTCTTTGTCCTTTATCTCGCTCTCCCTTTTCTCTCCCTCTCTCTTTCGCTATCTCCCCCTCTTATGGCTGACCTTGTGAAGGGCACGGTGACTGAGTGTCCTCTTTAACTGGTTTCAGCTCAGAAGAGAGAGGATTGTCTGTTGGACTCTTCGATGAACTCTCTAACAGTTGTTTTCTCTCTCTGTGTGTGTGTGTGTGTGTGTGTCTGTGTGCGTGTGCGTGTGCGTGCGCGCATACACCCGCGTGTGTGTTGGCATGTATGTGTGTGTGTGTATCCATATCCCCCTGGCAGATTGGCCGGTGGCATTCAGAGCAGGGTCTGTCCATGGAGAGGAAGCTTCAATCAATCAACGTGACAGACACTCTCTTCAACACCACCCTCACCATCACCACTATTCTGGTGAGTGAACCGTCACGGCAACACACTCCCAATGACACACGTTCTGGACATTCCACTTGGTTCATAATGGAGAGAGTGGTAGACATTAAAGTGCAGTGGGGTAATATTTCTCCATGTTACACCGTCACACTCAGAACAGGACATGCAAGCGTACACTCCACTTGGTTTACGATGGAGAGAGTGGTAGATATTAAAGTATAGTGACGTAGTATTTCGCCCGTAGTAAATCATGTCACCCTGTCACACCGTCACACCAGCACACTCCGAATGACAGATATGTGCTGGATCACCCACTTGGTTTAGATATAGAGAGTGGTTGACAATAAGGTGTAGTGGGGTGGTATTTCACCATGGCACCTAAAGCTGTCCTGTCCTATTTAAGTATAGTGCCTGTCATTCATAGAGTTGACATCTCTGTCTTGAGGGCGGCAGGTAGACTAGAAAAAAATCAGTTGATGTGCCCTTGAGCAAGGCACTTAACCCTAATTGCTCCCGTAAGTCGCTCTGGATAAGAGCATCTGCTAAATGACTACAATGTAAATGTTGATCTGCCCTGACTCTGAAGGCTTCCTTGATGTAAATACAGTCTCATCCTCTATATATCCTCTCAGGAAGGTGTATTGCTGGTGTGCTTAGCGGGCCGAGTTGTTTAGATACTATCTATAAGGCGATACGCTTAGCAATTAAAGATGTAATCCGTGTGGTGGTTGACAGCCTGTTATTTGGCAGCAATTTTCCAGGGCATGGAGGAAAGTGGGTATCGGTCTGAGGAGGAAATTGAGCTTTTCTCCTCTCCTCACATTCGCACACCCTGCGGAGAGATCCTTTCTCTTCATTGAGCTAGGTCACGCTGCTTTTCTGCAGCCCGCTGAGGACTGTGGGAGTTTTTTTGACTGAAAAACACTGGGGTTCAATATAGCCATTCATACAACAGATTCTGATTGGCTGCAACAGTGTTCTAGCTACACTGGGGTTCAATAGAGCCATGCTACTACTGGCTAGCCCAGGCCTGCTAGCGCTTACATCACTGCTGATTGGGCGCATGCGTGAAAGTTAGCCAGAGAAATCCTCATCGTCCTCCCTCTACCACTACTTGATGAATCAAAAGATAAGCCCAAAGTATCTTGTAAGGAGAGCCCAAATGTCCGCAATGTTATTCGCAATGTCACGCTTACCAGTTAAGAGCAGAGGTGGAATAAAGTGTGTCTGTGTTAACCCGCGACTTAAGAAAAAGGTCTCATTGAGAATGATTGGGATTGAGGTGGAATGGTTCCGTTGGTTTCACCGACCGCGGGGGCTTCTTTATCAAATGAGGAGCTGTTACAACGGTGGCTGAGAGAGAGAGAGAGGGGGGGGGGGGGGGGGGGGGGCAATTGAGCTGCTACCTGTTTATTTCGCTATATATATAGAGTTGTCCAGGCAAATTTCAAAAGCCACCAAGGAGCAATTTTGTCGCTATCACAACTCACTCATCACTGCGTGATTGCTTTGTTGCGCTTTATCTCTGCCGGTGGGGGCGGGCTAGACGCTGCAGTCTTGAGCGGCTGCAGTGCGGAGCGGCACCAGGAGGATTCATCTCTCCTGCAGACTGTTTCAGTACAGTTATGCACACTGTCACCATGGCCTCTGTGACTCAGAGAGCCGACGCAATACAGAAAACAACCTCCCCCACCGACCCCACCTCTCTGGAAAAAAAAAATGTTTCAATTGATTTTGCACCTCCACAGACCCCAGACATTACGTTGTAATCTCTCTGTTTGTTACCGATGTTTAGTTTTTCCATCCTTTGGATGTTAGTGAAATAAATACTTGCGATAGCTCTTCCGCTGTGCCACTAGGAGAGGTGGTATTTCTGAACTCCTGATTGCTCTGGGAAGATAATAGAGACTTTGCTCTAAGTTGATTTGTTTTTAAGCCATTTTTGATTGGCTGGCTCAGGCCTCTTTAGGAGAGAGAGTGTCACCAAAGCGATGTCACCTTCAGGCTTCAGACCACAGTCACATGGTCAGTTAAGTGTAGTGTAATCCTAGTTTATGATTGTTCAGGAGGGTCAGGGTTGATTATTCCCATCATCCTCTCTGCTCAGTCAGTGTGAGCAAAGATGACCACCTGTCAATGACCACCCCTTAATGGGGAAACTGCCACATCCATTTGCGATATTACAACAACAAAGAAGTTACTGCAAACAACAAACACTGTTATTTTCCCCCTCGGACATCATTGCAAGCGCAATAAAACAGCAGGATACAGTTAACTACCAAAATAATGGAATCACTTGAGTAAATGAGGGATAGAATGTACATTGAAAGCAGGTGCTTCCACACAGGTGTGGTTCCTGAGTTAATTGAGCAATTAACATCCCATCATGCTTAGGGTCATGTATAAAAATGCTGGGCAGGCCATTATTTTGGCTACCATGGCTATGCCACCATAGGATGACAATGCCCCCATCCACAGGGCATGAGTGGTCACTGAACGATTGAATGAGCATGAAAACGATGTAAACCATATGCCATGGCCGTCTCAGTCACCAGATCTCAACCCTGTTGAACACTTATAGGAGATTCTGGAGCGCCGCCTGACACAGCGTTTTTCACCACCATCAACAAAACACCAAATTATGGAATTTCATGTGGAAGAATGTTGTTTCATTCCTCTAAAATAGTTCCAGACACTATTAAGACACTTGGTATGTTGGTTTATTTTGGCAGTTAACTGAATGTACTGCAATGTTTTTTACCATGACGCTCGAAGCTCCCAACCTCTGCTTCGTCAATAAATGAAATGAAATAACAACGGTGTGGGGCGGACATTGTTTCCCCCTGCTGCGAATTCCATCTTTAAACGTTTGCTTGAGTCTACTTGGAGTGCCAGATGGGCAGGCTTTTCACTTTTGAGACTATTTCACTGGTTCCATTGTGGCAGAAGCTCAATCAAGCACAGCTAAAGTATTTGAAAGATTTCAGGCATACAGGGCGTTAGCGCCAATACATGTCCTTGTTACAGAATAACAATACCTGAGAGCGGATTATAAGACGGTGGCTTTTAGATATACTGTGGGTTTTACTTACATTATTACCTTGTGAGAGAGAAGTGTCATTCAGCAGCATTGCAGTTCTTGACACACTAACCGGTGCACCTGGCACCTACTACCATACCCCGTTCAAAGGAACTTAAATATTTTGTCTTGCCCATTCACCCTCTGAATAGCACACATACACAATCCATGTCTCAATTGTCTCAAGATCCTTCTTTAACCTGTCTCCTCCCCTTCATCTACACTGATTAAAGTGGATCATAGCTTTCACCTGGATTCACCTTGTCAGTCTATGTCATGGAAAGAGCAGGTGTTCTTATTGTTTTGTAAACTCAGTGTATATTTGAGCTGCCAGTTCGCTATAGGCTCCAGACCACAGAATTGTATTTTCTGGAGGATGGGGGGAATTGCGAGGCTAGGGGGTTGTGACTGCTCCTTGAACCAGACCCGGGTTCAAACAGTATTTGTTTTCTTTCAAATACTTTGCACGTTTGATTGAGCATGCCTGGAGTGCCAGATGGGTGATGTTTGCACTTTTGGGACTATTCCATTGGTTCCATTGTGCCAAGGAAGCTCAATCAAGCGCAGCTAAAGTGTTTCAACTATAGTGAATACTATTCGAACCCAGGTATGACTTGGTACACCTTAAAAATAGAGAATTTTCTGACTGTCGTGTGTAGTCGATTTGTTTAGGTTTCTAGGCTCAGCTCGTGGGTGATGTTTCCCCCTGGTACAGATCTATGATCAGCTTTCCCTCCCCCAATCCTAACCGTAACCATTATTGGACAAAATGCATCTGGCATGGGTAGAGTAAGGTTTTGTGTGTGTGGGGGGGGCATGGAACACTGGCATCACTCAGCTGGAGTTATCTGCACCCAACCAGACTCCTGGCAATGGAAAAAAGGGGAGCATGTTTTTAGAGATACAGAAATGCTGCATTTCCTCATATCTTGAAATGCACCATTTCATAGAATTGTCTGTGGTATATTACAAAAGGTAGATAGAATTTCCCTGTGATTTCAATGAATGCCTCTGACATTGATGTATGTAGGTAGATCGGTAAGCATTCACAAACAGTGGTGAATTATGCAACATTAGGAGTTAGACATGACAACATTCCAAATCCCCTGTCATGTATTCCACACAGAGAGAGAGAGAGAGAGAGAGAGAGAGAGAGAGAGAGAGAGAGAGAGAGAGAGAGAGAGAGAGAGAGAGAGAGAGAGATTATTGATTAATGTCTGGGTTTTACTCCCATGATTGAAGGGTCAGAGCCAGCTCTTAATTACATTTTTCTGCAGGTTTTTATTTATTTATTTATACAGGGTGGGTCATCATTGAGACCAGGGTCTCATTTACAAGGAGCCCTGTGAACATGAACATACACAATACAATTGAATACAACATAATGTAAAATAACAAAATAATAAAATAACAATATCAATACAATACATACAACAAGATTAATCAAAGCAAACACAACTCTCACATATCACTTCCCTTAAACTCCATCTAAACTGTCCAATGGGGGCCTTCAGGCTATTCCATGAGCTGGTGGCATAAGAACTAAAAGCATTTTACCCCAGCTCAGTGGAGACCTGCGGGACCTCCAGAACCAGCCAATCCAGAGAGCGGGTCTGAAAATTGCTGGATCTCCAATTAATACATGAGCTGAGGTAGTTAACCAGGTCACCAACCGAGGATGTTCTTCCCCACCTCTATAGAGTCTCCTAATAGTGGGGACTGTTGGGGAGATAAATATAGAATTACTTTGCCTCCCTTTCACACTCATCAATCAACTAGTGAGAGCTAGCCGAGAAATTATGGGCCGCATTTAATTAAGCGCAGCGGCCCACTCCTCTCTGTCGCCGGGGGTGTGGAGACTTATTAATTGAATCCAGAAGGTTTGTTTATCCATTTCCAAGCTTTCTCCCTTGAAACCCCCGCAGTGTAATGTACAACTGGCCCGTGAAATGCTGGCCCGTGAAATGCTACTCCTTAATAAGCCCTAGTTTGGGAGGGGAAAGGGAAAGCGTCCATCCGGCTGCAATGGTTGAGCGCTGCTGCGAGCGATGAAATAATTAGCATTTATATTGTGCCTTCCTGCATGGCGCCGCATAACCACAGCAGAGGTGTCAACTCAGGGGCAGAAAGGGAACATGCGTGGCTGTTTAATAAGTTAATGAATGGAGAGGATTTGCATTTATAGAGTGTTACTGTGCTCTGACTCAGGGCCCGAAAGGCTCACCTGCATGCATACGTTCAAAACATCCGCCAGTCTCTCCCTCCATCTGATACTGATGAGTATGTCCACTAAAAGCAGCACTTAGAATGTGCTCGGATTCAGTGACCTCAGATATGATGCAGAGAAGGCTAGGAAAACCCTATTCTAGTTTCTCTATTGCTATTCTCTTATCGGTGTAGCGCAAAGCAGTGTGTGCACTGAAAACCCCAGCGAGGTGGAGGGGGGGGGAGAGGCCATAGAAGACTAATCAAGTGTAAGGGAAACCGATCCAGTAGTACCACAGGTAGAAGAACTGTTGTTGCCATGGTGACAGGATGGTCGGTGGCAGTGTGATGTGTCATCCTCTTTGAGGTCTCCGGTTTTCCACTTTGTGTCATAATGGAGGGACGCCGCTTCGTACTGTGAGACGAATCCATCTCCCGGTCACCAGTCAACACAAAAGCCACCCCAATAGAAGTATGACAGAGCAATTTCACTGTTTGCCTTGTGTTCCATCTATATTTCTCTAAATCAGACAGTGAGATTTTTCTCTCTCTCGACTTAAGTATAAAGCTCACTGTTACAGGGAACAGGTTAAAAAGGCTGCCTGTTACAAGGCTGGCTTCACTCTGTAAAACTGACATGTTGCGAAGGTGACAATGTTCGGCTCAATTTATGAAGTCCTCTCCAACAATGTCATTAGAAGGCTCCCACATAAAAAAAATACTAGAGTTTACTATAGAATACTACAGTATTTACTATAGAATTCTGTAGTAAACTGTAGGATACTGTAGAATACTATACACTGTAGTATCCCTCGATCATGTGTAGTACTTAGTATAGAATGTTGTAGAATACTATAGTAAACACTACAATATTATCCATTAAAAAAAACACTGTAGTAAATACTACAGAAATGTCTGCAAAAACACATTTAAAAAAAACAATAGTAAATATTGCAGTATTTAATTTGCATATATCCTGCCCATTCCCCTCCCCCATATGCCAATTTGTGCCACCCGTAAGAAACCTACATATAGACCATATATTGTGTTCCTTACAGGTTATAGAAAATAGCAAATGCTCTGAACTCTCTGTTCAGAACCCAGTCCTACCTACCTACAGGTTATGGAAAATGTGATCTTTTAGCATTTCTCCAGTAGGTTTCCTCAAGGAGAAAGCCCCCCACTTGTCAAAGATAATAAAACAGAAACACTTTACTAAAAACTATGGTAATGTCCCCAAAACCACTACAGTAAATAATACAGTATACTGTACTACAGTCCGCAAAAACACTACAGTAAATACTACAGTATACTACAGTCTGCAAAAACACTACAGTAATTACTATAGTATATACTACTCTTTTTTACTACAGTATTTATACTAAAGTAAACAGTAAATACTACAGTATACTACAGTAAATATTACAGTATTCACTGTAGTGTTTTTGTGGACTTCAGTCTTCAGTCCGCAAAAACACTACAGTGAATACTACAGTAAAGTCCGCAGAAATATTACAGTGAATACTATAGTATTCCTACAATAGTATACACTATAGTATTTTTCCATGTGGGCTGCAGCATTCAAGATTTGATACATGCTTTATTAAAGTATTCTCCAAAAAAAGCAAGCGCATTTAGTATTTTAGCTATGGTGTCTGGCGTAAAATGTGGACCCCTGATTGGTTGATAAATCTCTCTTAACCCCCCAAATTTAAATCATTGAGCTGCTTGCTCAACATTATGAAAAAACGAATCGTAAATTAGGAACAAACTATAAGAAAGAGTGAGTCAGTCAAAGACAGGGTTGTAAAACAGTCAGCGGAGGTGCCAGACAGAGGCTTTTGTTCTCCCGCCAAGTACGGTGGTGAAATTAATTGATGTACAGTGGGGGAAAAAAGTATTTAGTCAGCCACCAATTGTGCAAGTTCTCCCACTTAAAAATATGAGAGAGGCCTGTAATTTTCATCATAGGTACACGTCAACTATGACAGACAAATTAAGAAAATAAAATCCAGAAAATCGCATTGTAGGATTTTTAATGAATTTATTTGCAGATTATGGTGGAAAATAAGTATTTGGTCACCTACAAACAAGCAAGATTTCTGGCTCTCACAGACCTGTAACTTCTTCTTTAAGAGGCTCCTCTGTCCTCCACTCGTTACCTGTATTAATGGCACCTGTTTGAACTTGTTATCAGTATAAAAGACACCTGTCCACAACCTCAAACAGTCACACTCCAAACTCCACTATGGCCAAGACCAAAGAGCTGTCAAAGGACACCAGAAACCAAATTGTAGACCTGCACCAGGCTGGGAAGACTGAATCTGCAATAGGTAAGCAGCTTGGTTTGAAGAAATCAACTGTGGGAGCAATTATTATGAAATGGAAGACATACAAGACCACTGATAATCTCCCTCGATCTGGGGCTCCACGCAAGATCTCACCCCGTGGGGTCAAAATGATCACAAGAACGGTGAGCAAAAATCCCAGAACCACACGGGGGGACCTAGTGAATGACCTGCAGAGAGCTGGGACCAAAGTAACAAAGCCTACCATCAGTAACACACTACGCCGCCAAGGACTCAAATCCTGCAGTGCCAGACGTGTCGCCCTGCTTAAGCCAGTACATGTCCAGGCCCATCTGAAGTTTGCTAGAGTGCATTTGGATGATCCAGAAGAGGATTGGGAGAATGTCATATAGTCAGATGAAACCAAAATAGAACTTTTTGGTAAAAACTTGTCGTGTTTCGAGGACAAAGAATGCTGAGTTGCATCCAAAGAACACCATACCTACTGTGAAGCATGGGGGTGGAAACATCATGATTTGGGGCTGTTTTTCAGCAAAGGGACCAGGTTGACTGATCCGTGTAAAGGAAAGAATGAATGGGGCCATGTATCGTGAGATTTTGAGTGAAAACCTCCTTCCATCAGCAAGGGCATTGAAGATGAAACGTGGCTGGGTCTTTCAGCATGACAATGATCCCAAACACACCGCCCGGGCAACGAAGGAGTGGCTTCGTAAGAAGCATTTCAAGGTCCTGGAGTGGCCTAGCCAGTCTCCAGATCTCAACCCCATAGAAAATCTTTGGAGGGAGTTGAAAGTCCGTGTTGCCCAGCGACAGCCCCAAAACATTTTTTACATTTACATTTTAGTCATTTAGCAGACGCTCTTATCCAGAGCGACTTACAGTTAGTGAATGCATACATTTTTTTATTTTAATTTTTTTATAAAAAAAAAAAAAAAACTCCTACCCCCTGTGGGAATCGAACCCACAACCCTGGCGTTACAAACGCCATGCTCTATCAACTGAGCTACATCCCTGCCGGCCATTCCCTCCCCTACCCTGGGCCAATTGCGCGCCGCCCCATGGGTCTCCCGGTCGCGCCGGCTACGACAGAGCCTGGATTTGAACCAGGATCTCTAGTGGCACAGCTAGCACTGCGATGCAGTGCCTTAGACCACTGCGCCACTCGGGAGTCATGACATCACTGCTCTAGAGGAGATCTACATGGAGGAATGGGCCAAAATACCAGCAACAGTGTGTGAAAACCTTGTGAAGACTTACAGAAAACGTTTGACCTGTGTCATTGCCAACAAAGGGTATATAACAAAGTATTGAGAAACTTTTGTTATTGACCAAATACTTATTTTCCACCATAATTTGGAAATACATTCATTAAAAATCCTACAATGTGATGTTCTGGATTTTTTTTTTCTCATTTTGTCTGTCATAGTTGACGTGTACCTATGATGAAAATTACAGGCCTCTCTCATCTTTTTAAGTGGGAGAACTTGCACAATTGGTGGCTCACTAAATACTTTTTTTCCCCACTGTATATGTGACCCTAGATACAGTGGGTATAGAAAGTTACCACCCCCTTTAAAAATGTTCACCTTTTGTTGCCTTACAGCCTGAAATGAAAACACATAAAATGTGACTTTTTCCAGTTTATTTACACACAGTAACCCACAATATCCAAGTGGGATTTTCTTTTTTTTTACTCTGAAAATTGTTTCAAATTAAAACAGTCAAATACCCTATTTGGATAAGTGAACACCCCCCTGAGTTAATACTTAACCACCTTTTGCTTGAATTACAGCCATGAGTCTCTTTGAATACGTCTCTACTAACTTTGCACACCTAGACAGTGCAATATTTGCCCATTCTTCCTTGCAGATTTGTTCAAGCTCAGTCAAATTGCATGGTGACCGCTCATGGACTGCACTCTTCATTCTCAATGGGATTTAGGTCTGGGCTCTAACCAGGCCACTCAAGGACATTCAGCCACTGTACGGTTGCTTTGGCGGTGTGCTTTGGGTCACTGTCATGTTGAGACATGAACCATCTTCCCATTTTCAATTTCCTAGCAGAGGGCTGCAGGTTCTCCTCAAGAATCTGTCGGTATTTTGCACTGTCCATTTTCCCTTCTATCCTGACAAGTGATCCAGTTCCTGCTGAAGAGAAACACCCCCACAACACGATGCTGCCACCGCCGTGCTTTACTGTAGGCATGGTGTTCTTTGGGTGGAAAGATGTATTGGGTTTTCACCAGACATATCGTTTTGCGTTCAGGCCAAAAAGTTCAATTTTGGTCTCATCTGACCACAGCACCTTTTGCCACTTGGCCTCGGAATCGACAATGTGCTTTTTGGCAAAGCTTTTTGACAAAGCTCAAACGAGAGTGGTTTTTTTCTTGCCACCCTCCCATAGAGGCCAGATTTGTGGATCGCTTGTGATATTGTGGTCACATGCACACATTCACCAGTCTTTGCCATAAAGGCCTGAAGCTCCTTCAAAGTCGGCATTGACTTCTTGGTAGCCTCTCTGAACAGTCCCCTCCTTGCCCGGTCATCCCATTTGGAGGGACGGCCTGATCTATGCAGGGTCTGGGTGGTGCCATACGCCTTCCACTTCTTAATAATGGTCTTAACTGTTCTCCGAGGGATAGACCTTTGAAATCTTTTTATATCCATCCCCTGACTTGTGCCTTTCCACAACTTTATCTCGTAGATCTTTTGAAAGTACCTTTCCGCCCATAGTGGATTATTTGCATTGAATTGCACTACTAAGCAGTGGAGTCCTCTATGAACAACTGCTTTTATTCTGAACTAATCAAAGTCACTACAATTGATCACAGATGGAAGCCAATTAGCTTGATTTGTGATCTGGAAGGTGGTTGGTTATACCTCAGCAGGTTTTCAATTGCAATTCTAAGGGGGTTCACTTATCCAAATAGGGTATTTGACTGTTTTACTTTTAATTAATTTTCAGAGTTTTTTTGATTTTTTTCTCCCACTTGGATATTGTGGGTTACTGTGTGTAAATAAAGCTGGAAAAAGTTTAATTTTATGTGTTTTCATTTCAGGCTGTAAGGCAACAAAAGGTGAACATTTTGAATGGGGGTGGTGACTTTCTATATCCACTGTATATGCTCATTGGCTCCTATTTAAAACGAATGACCTCTGGTGAGAGAGTGTCCACTGTCCAGACAGACAACTTGCTAAAATCAAGTTGTCAAGATTGAGATGATGTTATGCTATGCTACACTAGGTTAGGCTATACTATGCTATGTTTATTGTTGTGAATTCGGGGGGGCTGCCCCAGCCTGGACTCAAACTCGGGTCCAGTGACTGTCAAGCTAACACCTTAAACGTTACGCAAATAGGTCAGAGGTTGCAAGGTATTGGGTTAAGGTCGCCACATTATCATGGTGTTCTACATGTGCTCTGCTACATCTGTATCCCTCTGCAGGAGAACCCTTACGTGATGCTGCGACCGAACCACCAGGAGATGGAAGGGAATGAGCGCTATGAGGGCTTCTGTGTGGACATGCTGAAGGAGCTGGCGGACATCTTGAAGTTCAAGTACCGTATCAATCTGGTGGGGGACGGGGTGTACGGGGTATCGGGGACCAACGGTACCTGGACGGGCATGGTGGGAGAGCTCATCTCCAGGGTAAGAGCAACAGCTTCCTATAGTAAACATTATTCTTAGGGCCAGGAGTTTTTCCCGACCAACTGACTTGACCGGGAAAAACTCTGGGCCCTACCATCACCATCCATCTCCCTACCATTTACCCCCCCTCTACCACTTCACAGCATAATGCCACTCGAACTATAGACCAATTCATCAAACTTTCAATCAAATGTTATTAATGTAGCCTTTTTAACAAAAACATGTCACAAAGTGCGTTATAGTAATCAGTACTATTTACAGCCATTACTGTCAAATCACCCCTAACAAATCCCTAACATCCTACAAACATCCAGCACCCGTATGCACAGGTTGTACAACTGATGTACAACGGATTTGACACAATGGTTGTGCTACAACTGATACTTTATGTTCGTGATACAATGGAGAGTTTGTCGTCACAGAAATGTGTACACAACCATTGTGTGCGGCAGGTAGCTTAGTGGTTAAGAGCGTTGTGCCAGTAACCGAAAGGTCGCTGGTTCTAATCCCCGAGCCGACTAGGTGAAAAAATCTGTCGATGTGCCCTTGAGCAAGGCACTTAACTCTAATTGCTCCTGTAAGTCGCTCTGGATAAAAGCGTCTGCTAAATAATGTAAAAATGTGTGCTGTCTCCACAATGCTTTTGTAATTATTTTTGGTAGAAAAGCTCTCTGTTGTATTACAACCGTTATGCCAAATGCGTTACATCAGTTGTATAACTTTAGTGTGTATGGGGCCTAAATGTGGGTGTTATGTGTGCAGGCATAGTGTTTCTCTGAGGACTCCAGGGTCAAATGATTCCATCTGATACGTGATAGGCTGAGTGTCTCGTAGTAACACATGTCCCCAGTGATGTGATCTAGAAAAGTAGTGCCCAGAGCTATTGATTGAGGTTTTCACATTCAGAGCATCCTACAGTGAGGGGATGTAACCATACAGACGTGAGGATGATGAGGAGGACGAGGAAGGCTGTTAATTAGTCCAGATAATGCCTGATTCAGATGACACAGAGTCTTGGGCTGCGTCCCAAATGGCACCTTATTCCCTTTATAGTGCACTACTTTTGACCAGGTGCTCTGGTCAAATAGGGTGCCATTTGGGACGCAGCCATGGCTGTGTTCTGTTCACCCTTCTCACTCGAAACATCTCATCTGTCCTAATGAATCTCAATTAGCCCCAGCCACCCGTTAGCAGACACACACAACCCAGACATTTCTTTAAATGGGCCCAGCTAACCAGGAACTGGAGATTCAAAGCCCTTAAGGAAATAAAGAAAGGATTGCGTACTCGGTCTCCACTCGTTCTAATTGCGCCTCACACGATACTGCTACGGAGTGCCGGAGTACCAAGCAACGTCGGAGAGGGTGACGGTCGAGGGGAGACAGCGCAGGAAGGTGTGGGATCACTGAGTCCCTGCCACTCTCTGGAGAGACCCTCAGACTGGAAAGGAGGGAGTAAGTGGATGACTGGGTTATAGTTGAGAGGGAGGGGGAGAGGAGCAGGGAGGGGAGGAGAAGAGAGAGATTGTACTGTAGCTAGCCTATAGCGGCTGACAGGGTTAACACAGAAAAGTAGAGCGAACGCTGAGAGAAGAGCGTTCCACAAGCTTCCTATGCAAGGCTACAGTCTGCTAGCTGGGGACGGGGGCTTTACTTTAAGCAGCCATAGAGATGGAGACAAATCCCTAGCAGGGAGATGAAATGCCATGTACAGTGGGGAACCTCTAACTCAATGAATTATTCAGCAGCCGTAGGGACGGCTTTGATTTTTTTTTCCTATCTCTTTTTTTTTCCGGGGCACCATCTAATGAAAGAGCAAAACTGGAAACAAGTGTGGTGGCATGGGGAAAGAATACAACGATGCATTATTTAAAAGCTGACTTTATACAGTGTGTTTTCTCTATCTCTCTCTCTCCCCCCACACACTTTGAATAGCTGTTAGAGTCCAGTAATCAATATTAATATTCAATAGGTGCATTAATATTTCAGTAGCAGCTACGGTTCCGTGTTCATTTTTCAAAGGAGGAGTGAATTCTTTCTTTTGTTGATTTTTTTTTGCCTAGATACTTTTTGTTGTTGCTTTGGGGCTGGCTGGGGGTTGGCTAAATGCCTGGTTTTGCTCGTTCATTCAGAGTTGTTGTCAGTGAAAACAACCACTAAAACAACCACTGTAAAACAACCGCTAAAAAGCCTTCCAGACCTTTTTCACCACTGTGTTAGCACCCGGAGCTCTGTTTTTGCTGTTCAAGTTATTCTGGACAGGACTGGTCAACTCCTCCAGGGGCGTGTACTCAAACAGAGTGAAGCTGTGAAAAGCCTTCCCCTGCACACCTCCTCTCTCTCTCTGTCTGTGTTCTCAACTGCTGCTCTCAGATCAAGGCAAAGGCATATGATAGCCAGAGTCCCTCATAGGACCACCTACTGTACAATGAAAGGTGTATGATACCCACTTGACAGGGTACATTACAGCATAACAAGACCCAGGGCTAGCCTTGACACTGAACCTTCTGCTTATTTCTACCTACAACTAGACTACTGTCTATACTGTAAATCAAGCAAAGTTGTTCTTCTTGATTGGTCCAAATTTGTTTGCTAGTTAAGTTATTTAGTGTGTCAACGTGCACTGTGACCGTGATGGCATCGCCCTAACTGATGATGGGTGTGCTATCAGAGCAAAAGATTTCCACAGATTCTTTTGGACAGAGCCTTCTAGCCAAGTTAACAGGGGGCACACTCACTTGGACCGACAATCAGAAAAGGGGCTGATGGGTAAAAAAGAAAAAAACAATGGGGTCATGAATGCTGACGGTCGGATCCAGCGCTGTAGGCAGGCAGGCTCTCCTCTCATTTAGAGTTGAGCTCTGACAATCCTCTTATTTTCCAACTGCAAAGGACAAAGAGCAGCGTAGGGTTTCACAGGGTCCCGGGGGAGATTAAAATCCCTGGCAGATGTACTTTGCAGCGTCGGATGATTAGTGGGATCGACCAGCCACCGCCACAGCCCTACCATGCCCAGTATCACTGGCTGACTGGCATGCTTGCTTACTGACTGGCTCTGCCTGGCTGGCTGATTGACTGGCTGCTGTGTCAAGTGATTTGTCCTAACAATCTGCCCTTTGCCTGCTTGCAAAAACATTGCACTCTGTTCTAATATGTGTCTCAAATGGCACCCTATTCCCTATTGTGAACGGATCAGCTTGTCCAAAGCTCCCTAAAACAAGCGGGAGGCATGAAATGAACAGACCAGAGGCAGTGGTTGTGGTTCCTTTTCTTTTGTATTGTTACTGAACGGGTTCTTTTGCCTGACAAAATAATTCCAATACAGGGTAACGTCCAACGCTGAAACAACAGCGTAACAAAACAATTTACAAACTAAGCCGTTGACCAAAAGGCCGTGGCCCAAAAAGGGAAAGTAAAACAACAAATGGCTCCTCCTGTCTTTAGACGATCGTCTACACATACAGTTACAGGAGGAACGCTTCTCTCTATCTATATACACATACAGTTACAGGAGGAACGCTTCTCTCTATCTATAGTCTGCCTTGGTTAACAGAGAGACAAAGGGCCCCAGACGAAGAAGCTTTCTCTGAGGTAGGACAATACGACGTCCTCACAGGTCCCTGTCTCTACTCCCAAATCTCTCCCAGCTCCTCTCCTGGCACACCTATATAGAGGAAGACACCAATCAATTAGTGGGCCCAGCTGTGTGCTAATTGGCTTTACACTGAGTACCTATCCCCTGAGGAGGGTGCTGTCGTGCCGTCTTCCTCCGGCTGGTCACTGAACTCTCACACTATATAGTGCACAAATGTTGACCAAAGCCCTATGGGTCCTGCTCAGATGTAGTGCACTACATAGTGAATAGGGTGTCATTTGGGACATAGCGCTCCCCTCTGTTCTACACTCTGTTCTCCCTGGTGCCCTGGATGAGTCAGGTCTTGGACACAAAGCCAATGGTGGATTATGCTACACACTGCTGGCAGACTAGGCATCACAGACAACAATGGCAGTACAGTAGGAGTGGAATTACACTAGTAGCCTACTTACTATTTCATTTAACTTTCCATGCATTTTCCACCACCACAACCCAACTTTTGCTACTGTAGATGTACCTATCTGTGCTTATCTGAATGGTTGGTGTGGTGTGTGTGTGTGTGTGTGTGTGTGTGTGTGTGTGTGTGTGTGTGTGTGTGTGTGTGTGTGTGTGTGTGTGTGTGTGTGTGTCTATTCCAGAAAGCGGATTTGGCTGTAGCGGGGCTCACCATAACCGCAGAGAGGGAGAAGGTCATCGATTTCTCCAAGCCTTTTATGACCCTGGGAATCAGCATCATGTACCGTGTACACTTGGTAAGACTAACCTCTGACCTCTCCGACCCCTACAAACAACCTGGCTGACCCCTGACCCCTACAAACATCTCGCACCACGGCAGTCAGTGGACCGATGCTAATGACCTAGCGACCAATCATCAGCCTCGGTCTGGGAGCCCGTTCAGCGCCTCTCCTCCTCTCACTACATCCCTCTCCTCTCTCTACCTCCGCCAGAGTAACAGATGGTGTGCTCTGCTCTGTGATATGCTGGTGTGAATCGACCTTTCATTCCCAATCCCACTTCTCCTCTGATTGTGACTGGGATCTAATTCGCACCAATAACACCCCTGATCCCTGCGTATAGAACAAGACCCAGGCAACAGTTGTGGAAATCCAATACCCCTATGTTAACACCAGCCAACCATTAATCAAAGGCCTTCTCCCAAATCCAAGGAGACACGCTGGTCTCTCCGCTGGCCACCGGCCGGATGGAGCCGCTTTGGACCGAGCGGCGGCGTGTAAAAACATGATTATGGCGTCCCAGTAGGGCATTTACTCCAGCCGTCCCTGTCCTCCCTGTCCCCCCTGTCCCCCCATCTGCGTCCCTCCCCTTTTCCTGGTGCTAATAGGTGCAGCTGCCAGGAGAGAGGCTCCATTGGGCCAACAGTTGGTTGAATGAATCGATAGCAGCAGGTGCACAGTAAGTGGGCTGCCGTATCACCTCTGCGGCAGGCTGCTGCTACTGCTGACGCGTTGGAACGTGCTCATCTGTGTGTTCCTGCGAGCTGACGTGGCGTGGGGGAGGAGAGGAGAAGCCCACACACACTGCAGTGCAAGATTGACACACACACACTCCCACTGCCCTAACAATGTCGGCACAGACAGACAGACAGACAGACAGACAGACAGACAGGGAGGGAGGGAGACAGGGAGGGAGGCAGACAGACAGACAGACAGACAGACGGACAGACAGGGAGGCGGAAGGATAGAGGGATGGGATGAAGAGCGTAAGGTAACTGGCAGAGAGAGATGAGGAGCCTCCACTGCTTAAGATCAGGAGTGAAAGGCGGAAGAGACTAACTACAAAGTGTGAGAGTCTGCTGCACTGATCTCTCTCTCTCTCTCTCTCTGTCTCTCTCTCTCTCTGTCTGTCTGTCTGTCTGTCTGTCTGTCTGTCTGTCTGTCTGTCTGTCTGTCTGTCTGTCTGTCTGTCTGTCTGTCTGTCTGTCTGTCTGTCTGTATGTCTGTCTGTCTGTCTGGAGTCTTTGCACAGTACCTGTCCCTGGTGTCTCCTTCTTCTCTCTTCATCTCTCTACCCAGGACTCCCTCCCTCCCAGCGCCCCTTGGCAATCTCTTAGGTCTCACACAGAGCTACAAGGCTCCAGCTCCACCATTCAATATTAGAATTTCTGTGACTGCACTTGTTTAGGTTTAATCCACTAGCTATTGATCTCTGACGCAGTGATTTCTACAATTGCGCCTGCTGCTTATTTCAGACTTTAATTGAAATTCTCAGCCTGATCAATAACAATGGAAAACTGAATAAAATAGAGATGCCTGTTGATTTTGAATTACCTGCTGTATGGCCTTAGAGGTAGATGCCCTGGGGCCCCAAATGAGTTAGTCTGGCCCTGCCTACTACTGTTTAATTTCTGTCCATGGTGCACCCCAATTGTGTGTGTGTGTGTGTGTGCACCTGTGCGTTCTTAATCTCTTTTTGCTTATCTTGATTAACTGGTTTGTTTTATAAAGTGTTTTGGGAGAGCGCGATGGTCCTCTTTTGATTACCCTAAATCCTTCTTCTCTCCATCTTGCAGTATACTCTGAGGCTGACCACTCCACCAATCTGTCCACTTGTTTCATCAAACCCCCTTTCTCATCACCCCCCACTTCTATTTTCTGTGGACATCTTTCCACCAATCCCTCCCTCCTAGTAGTAGTAGTAAAGACAGAAAGAGACAGAGAGAGACAGAGAGAGAGAATGGAGAGAGCAAGAGAGACTATTGAGGGTGTGTATAGAGATTAAAAACCTAATTAGACCCACAAGTTAATTAGGGGGTTGGTAGAGAGGGGAGCGGTGTCACATTCACGAGCTGCCCTGTGGGAGTGTGGCACTGCGATCCTGATTGAGTGTGTCTGCCCCCCTCCAACCTCGCCCCACCTTCCCCGCTTCCCCTCTCCCTCCCAACCGTCCCAGACATCCTACGAGAGCGAGCACTGATGGAATCTGGGACTGCGGCTAATCAGCAGCCCCCCCCCCCCCCCGACCCCTCGCCACATAAACAGAACTCCTCCACCTCCGTAGTCATGGAGACCATAATAGCAGGGATGCGAATGGCGAGTGGCGGACCACAAATAGGGACGCATCTCTCAAGGTGGCTGGCGTTTGAAAGAAAACTGGTTACTCTCCTTCACTCAGTGTGTTTCTGTAGAGCAGTCTCGGCTCCCACCTAGGTTGAATACGTGGGGAATGACAATATGGGGAGGGAGGAGGGATATTCTGGTGAAATCCTTGAACGTGACCCCACTCACTAAAGGCAAAGACAGTAAAGGATGAAGATAGGCAGAAACTGCTTCTCCAATAGAAATCCCCGATCACACTTTTAGGCTACGTCATGGCGACGTTGGCTACCTAAGCTCATGCGCAGAAACACGTCATCCGGTCTAACAGTCGTTTCGTTCCAAACTGCGCATGTGCAGGCCGTCAAATCGAAGGCACTCCTTTGATATGAAGTTGTTTTTGACAAAAATGAAAACGTGTTGATTTGTCACTTTCACAAGGTTGGACTAAAAACAAGTTCAACTACTTCAGACATTGGCTCGAATCTAGGTTGTGCCTTTAGATTTCGAGAAAATTAACAACTAAGGAAGAAGTTTTCACTTCTCTCACTGACTTCTCAAACACCAAACCCCGGCCTGGTCTGCTTGGTCTGCTTCGCAAGCGTTCCCGGAAGTCTCGCGATGTTGCGCTTCTGGGTTGAGAAACTCTGTGCTAAAGGTCTTATATCCCGCCACTTAACACAAAGTAGAGCCTATGGGGAGAGGAGTTTGTATAACGCTTCATTTCCAATTGTTTGGATTGGCTTGTAAAATCAGCACGGGCAATGAGGCAGTTGTCACAACCGGCGCCTCCCGTCTCCTCTCTTCCTCTCCCCCGGTTCTCCATTTGATGAGATGATGATGATGATAATTACACTCTATAAAGCCCATGTCCAATAAAGACCTCCCTATCCAGTCAGAGCGCCATGCATGCCTGGATACAGTCGAGTACAGTCAGAGACCTGTTGTACAGTGCAGAGCCCGTGGTCGAGTGGTAACAGTCCTGACTTTTGGCACATGATCCGGGAGACCAGGGTTCAATTCCCGTTTTCCCGCAATGTCTAAATAGTCCTAAAAAATAGAGTCATTACATATTATAAACTGTATAATAAGTCATAGGCGCATACTTGCAAGTAACAAACCATTATACCTGCAGGCTTCAAATCAAATGTTACCAAAAAAAGACCTGTTGTGCTCGTAGCTGCCTTCGCCAGTCGTGATGCCCACCTTGACTACAGTAGGTGCAGATGACTGGCACCTCAGAGGTCTTCCTGACTGCCTGAGGGGGCTCTCTCTCCTATTTGAGAAGAAACAAACGTACCATCACACCTTGCCATCCCTCCCTCCCCTCCCTCCATCGCCCAGTACACACACACACAGAATTACATGTTACCAACTTAACCCTTTAACTGGCACACCCCAAAAAAAATATCAGAAAAAGTATTGTTCTGCTAAATATGTGTATTTAGCCTCAATATAGGCCATTAATGGATACGTTTTGTTTGCATGACATAAACTTTGATAAATAATGCATCGCAATCATCGCAAACAGCCGTTTGAGTTGCCTAATTAGAGTAAATTAATTTTGTATTGGAATTTGCATAGACTTTTTCATTTAAATTACAGTGCCTTCGGAAAGTATTCAGATCCCTTGACTTTTTCCACATTTTGTTACGTTACAGACTTATTATAAAATTGATTTCAATGAATATAAATCCTCAGCAATCTACACACATCACCCCATAATGGCAAAGCACAAACAGGTGTTTAGAAATGTTTGCACATTTATTAAAAGTAAAAAACTGAAATATCTTATATACATAAGTATTCAAACCCTTTGCTATGAGAGTCGAAATTGAGCTTAAGTGCATCATGTTTCCATTGATCAACCTTGAGATGTTTCTACAACTTGATTGGAGTCCACCTGTGGTAAATTCAATTGATTGGACATTGTTTGCAAAGGCAAACACCTGTCTATATAAGGTCCCACAGTTGACAGTGCATGCAGAGCAACAACCAAGCCATGAGGTCGAAGGAATTGTCCGTACAGCTCCGAGACAGGATTGTGTCGAGGCACAGATCTGGGGAAGGGTACCAAAATATTTCTGCAGCATTTAAGGTCCCCAAGAACACAGTGGCCTCCATCATTCTTAAATGGAAGATGTTTAAAACCACCAAGACTAGAGCTGGCCGCCCGGCCAATCTGAGCAATCGGGGGAGAAGGGCCTTGGTCAGGGAGGTGACCAAGAACCCGATGGTAACTCTGACAGAGCTCTAGAGTTCCTCTGTGGAGATGGGAGAACCTTCCAGAAGGACAACCATCTCTGCAGCACTCCACCAATCAGGCCTTTATGGTAGAGTGGCCAGACGGAAGCCACTCCTCAGTAAAAGGCACATGACAGCCCACTTGGAGTTTGCCAAAAGGCACCTAAAGACTCTCAGACCATGAGAAACAAGATTCTCTGGTCTAATGAAACCAAGATTGAACTCTTTAGCCTGAATGCCAAGCGTCACGTCTGGAGGAAACCTGGCACCATCCCTACGGTGAAGCATGGTGGTGGCAGCATCATGCTGTGGGGATGTTTTTCAGCAGCAGGGACTGGGAGACTAGTCAGGATTGAGGGAAAGATGAACGGAGCAAAGTACAGAGAGATCCTTGATGACAACCTGCTCCAGTGTCCTCAGGACCTCAAACTGGGGAGAAGGTTCACCCTCCAACAGGACAACGATCCTAAGCACACAGTCAAGACAATGCAGGGGTGGCTTCGGGACAAGTCTCTGAATGTCCTTGAGTGGCCCTGCCAGAGCCTGGACTTGAACCCGATCGAACATCTCTGGAGAGACCTGAAAATAGCTGTGCTTTAACGCTCCCCATCCAACCTGACAGAGCTTGAGAGGATCTGTAGAGAAGAATGGGAGAAACTCCCCAAATACAGGTGTGCCAAGCTTGTAGCGTCATACCCAAGAAGAATTGATGCTGTAATCGCTGCCAAAGGTGCTTCAACCAAGTACTGAGTAAAGGGTCTGAATACTTATGTAAATTTAATTATTTAATGTTTTATTTGTAATAAATTAGCAAAATTTTCTAAAAACCTGTTTTTGCTTTGTCATTATGGGGTATTTTGTGTAGATTTATGAGGAAAATAAACAATTTAATCCATTTTAGAATAAGGCTGTAAAGTAACAAAATGTAGAAAAAGTCAAGGGGTCTGAATACCTTCTGAAGGCACTGTAAATCTGCTTAATTTACTTATAATGGAAGCTAGGCCTAGTTAAATGAGGACTGATATCAAATATTAATAAAGTATGATACATTTGTGTGTCAAAATTTGAATATTCAAATGCATGTAAATTAATGCATTTACAGTTTATTTGCAGGCAGACAGTAAATAATGGATTTGAAATGATTTTTGTATTTGCACAGACAATATTTCTCTGTTGTCCATTATCACTAGCTTTGGCTTAATAGCATTCATTTAATGGGCAACTCAATCGCCTGGTAGAGCATATTTTTCAAGAATTCTTAAAATTGTAAAACAGCAACATATTAGTAAATTAATCAGTCTTAAATGGTGTTTGAGAGGTCAACAACATTTTACAACCTTTTATACATAACCTCTTAAGGATCGGATCCTTTTTTCCCATTTTCCCCTAAAATGACATACCCAAATCTAACTGCCTGTAGCTTAGGACCTGAAGCAAGGATATGCATATTCTTGATACCATTTGAAAGGAAACACTTTGACGTTTGTGGAAATGTGAAATTAATGTAGGAGAACATAACACATTAGATCTGGTAAAAGATAATACAAACAAAAAAACATGCGTTTTCTAATGTTTTTTTTGTTCCATCATCTTTGAAATGCAAGAGAAAGGCCACAATATAATATTGCAGTTTAAGTGCAATTTAGATTTTGCCCACTAGATGGCAGCAGTGTGTGTGCAAAGTTTCAGATTGATCCAGTGAAGCATTGCAATACTGGACTATTTTGTGTCAAGTCTGCCCAAATGTGCCGAATTGGTCAATGGATACTTTTTAAAGTACATAACTATAGAGAACATAAAAAAATGATATGGTAATACAAAATGTAAGTTTACACACTCCCAGGAATGTCATACATGATGGATCATTAGCTTATACACTAACTTTCACACATCTAGATGGCCGGGCGGGGTGGGTGTTGAGCCAGAGACAGCAGGGGTTCAAACTGTAGAACCCAGTTCCTACATTTGAATATAAAAATGGATTTTATCAAACAAAACTATGCTACATTTTATCTCTGGGACCCTTAGGATGACAAATCAGAGCAAGATTACTGAATGTAAGTACATTATTTACCTTCAGAGGTGAACGTATCAAACCAGTTGCCGTGATAAGTTTTTTGTTGTTGTGCACTCTCCTCAAATAATAGCATGGTATTTTTTCACTTTAATAGTTACTGTAAATTGGACAGTGCACTTTAACAAGAATTTAAGCTTTCTGCCCATATAAGACATGTCAATGTCCTGGAAAGTTTGCTGTTACTTACAAAAGTCATGCTAATCACATTAGCGCACATTAGCTCAAGGATTTTAACACTGCTGTGCTGAGATGCCTGGAGGGCCACAGGGAATGAGCTACTGTTGAATACAGGACAAGAGTAGAAAATGCTCAGTGGCTTTACACAAGCAAATAGAATGGTTGGCTGAGTGATACTTGATAGAAATGCAAAGAGAATACAAACATACTACTATAAGACTTTCAAGGTCTAACCTGATAAAATACAGTTAGGTCACACAGACCTTCGCTTTGTCAGTCCCTTTCACTCTGCACTTTCATTTTTGATTCTCCTAGGTAACTGTTTACAGTGGGGGAAAAAAGTATTTAGTCAGCCACCAATTGTGCAAGTTCTCCCACTTAAAAAGATGAGAGAGGCCTGTAATTTTCATCATAGGTACACGTCAACTATGACAGACAAATTGAGAAAATAAAATCCAGAAAATCGCATTGTAGGATTTTTAATGAATTTATTTGCAAATTATGGTGGAAAATAAGTATTTGGTCACCTACAAACAAGCAAGATTTCTGGCTCTCACAGACCTGTAACTTCTTCTTTAAGAGGCTCCTCTGTCCTCCACTCGTTACCTGTATTAATGGCACCTGTTTGAACTTGTTATCAGTATAAAAGACACCTGTCCACAACCTCAAACAGTCACACTCCAAACTCCACTATGGCCAAGACCAAAGAGCTGTCAAAGGACACCAGAAACAAAATTGTAGACCTGCACCAGGCTGGGAAGACTGAATCTGCAATAGGTAAGCAGCTTGGTTTGAAGAAATCAACTGTGGGAGCAATTATTAGGAAATGGAAGACATACAAGACCACTGATAATCTCCCTCGATCTGGGGCTCCACGCAAGATCTCACCCTGTGGGGTCAAAATGATCACAAGAACGGTGAGCAAAAATCCCAGAACCACACGGGGGGACCTAATGAATGACCTGCAGAGAGCTGGGACCAAAGTAACAAAGCCTACCATCAGTAACACACTACGCCGCCAGGGACTCAAATCCTGCAGTGCCAGACGTGTCCCCCTGCTTAAGCCAGTACATGTCCAGGCCCGTCTGAAGTTTGCTAGAGTGCATTTGGATGATCCAGAAGAGGATTGGGAGAATGTCATATGGTCAGATGAAACAAAAATAGAACTTTTTGGTAAAAACTCAACTCGTCGTGTTTGGAGGACAAAGAATGCTGAGTTGCATCCAAAGAACACCGTACCTACTGTGAAGCATGGGGGTGGAAACATCATGCTTTGGGGCAGTTTTTCTGCAAAGGGACCAGGACGACTGATCCGTGTAAAGGAAAGAATGAATGGGGCCATGTATCGTGAGATTTTGAGTGAAAACCTCCTTCCATCAGCAAGGGCATTGAAGATGAAACGTGGCTGGGTCTTTCAGCATGACAATGATCTCAAACACACCGCCCGGGCAACGAAGGAGTGGCTTCGTAAGAAGCATTTAAAGGTCCTGGAGTGGCCTAGCCAGTCTCCAGATCTCAACCCCATAGAAAATCTTTGGAGGGAGTTGAAAGTCTGTGTTGCCCAGCGACAGCCCCAAAACATCACTGCTCTAGAAGAGATCTGCATGGAGGAATGGGCCAAAATACCAGCAACAGTGTGTGAAAACCTTGTGAAGACTTACAGAAAACGTTTGACCTGTGTCATTGCCAACAAAGGGTATATAACAAAGTATTGAGAAACTTTTGTAATTGACCAAATACTTATTTTCCACCATAATTTGCAAATAAATTCATAAAAAATCCTACAATGTGATTTTCTGGAGAAAAAAAATCATAGTTGACGTGTACCTATGATGAAAATTACAGGCCTCTCTCATCTTTTTAAGTGGGAGAACTTGCACAATTGGTGGCTGACTAAATACTTTTTTCCCCCACTGTACATTACATCAGGTGTGCCTACATTTTTGTTCTACGTACTGCTGTTACTTCTTGAACGTCGAGCTGTATATCACACAGCCCCATGTCCTCTCCAACTCTTAAACAACCACATCACAGTAAAGCTTAGTGAACAGCATGTCCCATCTCTCTTTCTCTTCCTCTCTCTCTCTTCTCTCTCCCTCCATCCATCCCTCTCTTTCCATTTCTCTCGCTCTGATCTTTTCACTACACCATCTGCTAGTGTTGTGCTGTTTCCTCAACAGCTCTGCTCTTCCTTAATGGTCCGTTAGTGGCAACTAAACAGGGAATTAAATAGAGTAGCGCTGTAAACAAAACGCTCGCTTCACTTGGCACCAGATTGGATCACCACAAGACACCTCGTGTCAGCACAACCTTCACCTAGTTACTTTTCGAATATATACTCTTGCAGGAGTTGTCACTGCATTATACCGATATTGGCATTACCTTTTAATTGTACGTCCTGCCTTTGTAGCTGAGGTGGTTTGGAATGCCTTTAACTCAGTGGCCTAAGACTGTATTGTGGCATGCAGGAGACCCGAGTTTGAACCCGGTGGTCACATCCTAAAAAAATATACACACTACCCTTTCTCGTTTCAAGACTCTCTCTAAAACTAGAATGGCCTCTGACCAGTTTGAGTACCATTACAGAGTCTCTATCAGAGAGTACAGGGACGCTGGCACCATAAATGGATCATTTTCACAAGGCAAGCTGGTAGCAGCAGGCTCCTCAGACAGGCCAGTCCTAATTCTCTCTACTGTAATTAGAAATCTCCAGCTCCCCTCCTATGTTGCTCAATTACAATAATGCTTTAGTGATTACAGACACATTAATGAATATCCGGCCTCAACCAGGCCTAATTATGGATTAATTCATCATTTAGAATTTTTAGATGCCTTTAAATCCTTTCCCCTCGCCGCACATGCAATATATTTTGGGGGCAGGGAGCATTTGCATTGCATGCTTGTTGTATTGCTTATTATCAAGGGGATTGTAGTTTTGGTGAACGCTCGGTCATAGGGATAAATCTGTTACAGATGTATTGGCTTAGGGTGTATCTGTGTGTATGTAATGAAGCTAACCACCTCTCTCTCGCTCTGTGTGTGTGTGTGTGTGCGTGTGTGTGCGTGTGTGTGTGTGTGTGTGTGTGTGTTGTAGGGGCGCAGACCTGGCTACTTCTCCTTCCTAGACCCTTTCTCCCCTGGGGTGTGGCTCTTCATGCTGCTAGCCTACCTGGCAGTCAGCTGTGTGCTCTTTCTGGTGGCCAGGTAAGTCCTCCAACTCCTCTCAGCTCCACATTGACATCTACTGGTGCTTTGGAGGAACTGACATGTCATATAAAGTACAATTATACATGTGTTGTGTCCCAATAATCTCTCCTTTCTCCCGAATTGTGCACTTGTTCATGGATTTGATAGGAAATTCCCTATAGAGTAGTGAACGAGTGCACACTTCAGGAGGAAGGAGAGATGATTTAGTAGCAGGCAGCAACCACTTGATGTAATAATGTATGTATTTATTGTGTAATAATAATAATATGCCATTTAGCAGACTCTTTTATCCAAAGCGACTTACAGTCATGTGCGCATACATTTTTACGTATGGGTGGTCCCGGGGATCGAACCCACTATCCTGGTGGTACAAGCGCCATGCTCTACCAATTGAGCTACAGAGGAGTTATTTTATTTCTGTGGGGAAAAAAGGGGGTGGGTTGACACCTTTCTCATTTTGAAAGGTGATGATTTTGAAAGTTGATGGAAGTGGAACCATCTTGATTAAATGTTGATGTCATGTGGCTGTGCCTGAAAAAAAATCAGGTACATTTAAAAAGCAACAATACAAGAAAACAACCTCCCACTGACTAGTGACAACGACAACAGCTGTAATGAGACATTCTGAGAGGAGGGGTTGCCAAAGGTGTGCTGACATCACGTTTTAAGTGATTTGATTTGTTGGAAGTCAATTATTCTTTACTCGTTTGTATGTTGAAGGAAGCTAAATACAATGTGTTACGCTCTGTATTACGTTTTCCCCTTGGAGATTTGCCTGAGTAGTCAAAGCATGCATTCAATGAATTATAGGTTTCTAGAACTTGCATCATCCTACAAACACAGTAATATACCGGAAGCTGTAATGGCAGCTCAACGTTCTGCTCCGTAAAGCATATTTAGTGGCTTATTAGACTGCTTTCACTCACAGCAGACAGCAGCAGGTGTATGGGAGTGTACATCAGCTGACCCAGGTGGACTGAAAAACACGTTACACCACCTCATGGGATTCAAGGTGACTTTGTGCTTCGCTGACTGTTTAAATTGTTGTTTTTCCCCTCTAATTTCTCTCACTGTGTGCGTGCGGGCGTGTGTGTCTGTGTCTGTGTGTCTGTGTGTCTGTGTGCCTCTTTAGACTCACCCCCTACGAGTGGTACAATCCCCACCCCTGCCTGAAGGGGCGCTGTAACCTCCTCATCAACCAATACTCACTGGGCAACAGCTTCTGGTTCCCCGTGGGGGGATTCATGCAGCAGGGGTCCACCATTGCCCCCCGCGCCCTCTCCACACGCTGCGTCAGTGGAGTATGGTGAGTACAAATTAGTTTTTTTCTCGCATGGTCCTTTCCAGCACAGTTCCAGCAACTATGGTGGATGTGTAACCCCATCCAGTACAGCTTGGCTTGGCACAGCTTGGTTTGGCACAGTAGTGTGAAAAGGGTAATAGTGTACTTGCTAAATCACACTGCCTGACTTAGACACTTGTACACATACGGCACATGTATCTGTCTAGAAGCTTTCCACACTATCTTGCAGACCTGAACCGTAATGTCGCTCAGATATATCATTTCCAGCATGGTTCTATGGTGGATGTATAACCAGGCAGGCTAGAGCAGGTTCAGTTTAGTAGTGTGAAAAGGGTTTATCAGCGGTTGCTAATTAGAGGTTAACCTTTTGCCTGTGGCCTTGACCTCTCTACTGCAGCTTCAGGAACATCAAAGTAACATTTTCCCATGTTTCCCTTAAGACGACACTATGATCATATCACTATGATCATATCTGCTCCAATTAGCCTACCATCTGGGCCCTGAATATTTCCAATTCAGGTCACGTGGTCATGGAAAATTGCAGAGTCTGATACTATACCTGATACTGTACCGCTGAGGTAGTCTGTATGTCTGAGTCTATACCTGGTAGACACTGAGGTAGTCTGTATGTCTGAGTCTATACCTGGTAGACACTGAGGTAGTCTGTATGTCTGAGTCTATACCTGGTAGACACTGAGGTAGTCTGTATGTCTGAGTCTATACCTGGTAGACACTGAGGTAGTCTGTATGTCTGAGTCTATACCTGGTAGACACTGAGGTAGTCTGTATGTCTGAGTCTATACCTGGTAGACACTGAGGTAGTCTGTATGTCTGAGTCTATACCTGGTAGACACTGAGGTAGTCTGTATGTCTGAGTCTATACCTGGTAGACACTGAGGTAGTCTGTATGTCTGAGTCTATACCTGGTAGACACTGAGGTAGTCTGTATGTCTGAGTCTATACCTGGTAGACACTGAGGTAGTCTGTGTGAGTCTATACCTGGTAGACACTGAGGTAGTCTGTGTGAGTCTAGAGCTGATACATAGTACATAGTTAAGCTCCTGAGTGGCGCAGTGGTCTAAGGCACTGCATCGCAGTGCTAACTGTGCCACTAGAGATCCTGGTTCGAATCCAGGCTCTGTCGAGGCCGGCCGCGACCGGGAGACTCATGGGTGGCGCACAATTGGCCCAGCGTCGTCCAGGGTAGGGGAGGGAATGGCCGGCAGGGATGTAGCTCAGTTGATAGAGCATGGCGTTTGCAACGCCAGGGTTGTGGGTTCAATTCCCACGGGGGGCCAGTATAAAAAAATAAAATGTATTCACTAACTGTAAGTCGCTCTGGATAAGAGCGTCTGCTAAATGACTAAAATGTAAATGTAAATGTAATAGTTTAGTTTATTAATTCGACCATTTAAAAAAACAAGCACACATTAAACTTGAAAAAGCCATACATGCACATGAGTAAAAACATCGAGGATAACACACAATAAAGTCTGGGACTTATTTCCATTGTGGTCCTCTTGAAACGAGATGACTAGGCAAGATCGAACACGGTTGAACACGGTATGACAGCGAGATACTAAAACATAAAAACAAAGAAGAAGAACATCTATCTCATCATTGCAGGTAAATCGAAGGGTACATTCATATGGGCACAGCAGACATCAAACAGTTTTTAACTTTATTTTTAAAGCTGCCATTTTTATGGGCAAAGGCAACTCATTCCACTCTGAGGCTCCAGTATACAAGAAAGTACCTTTCCCAGCATTACTCCTGAACCTGTATATGCACACATTAGCAACACCTGATCTGGTGCTGTGATTGTGTGCGTCCCTAACATGGGGAAAGTAATCAGTTAGATATCTGGGCGCAGAACCATAAATACTCCTGTAAACCAAACCCAGTCTAATCTGGGACACCCTGGCCTCAACAGGCAGCCAGTTGAGTTCCTGAAAGCAGCTCCTGCCTATGTGAGTACGTGTACTCACCTTCAATAATACCCTGATAAGCCCCCAAACCAGGAAGTACTAGCGTGGTCAAAATGGCATTGAATGAGGGCAGTGGCTAGCACTCTCATGGAGTCCTTATCAAGCAGCTTGGACTTTCTTGCCAAAAACTTAGTCCTGGCATTAACCTTCCCTAGCACTTTAGTGGCCATGCTCACACCTCCCAAGCTTCCATCAAGGATGCATCCCAGGTAGCTAACATAGGTTTCAGTAGGCAGCACCTCACCCCCTAACTCCACTCTGATTTCAGAGGACCTACACAATTTAGGTCTGGACAAAAAAATAATTGCCTCAGTTTTACCTAAGTGCAGAGATAGCTTATTATCTCCAAGCCATTTGCTAATGTTAGTAAGCTTTGTGCTAAGTATGCTCTCCAACATAGTTTTACTTTTGTGAGACACCAGAAGTGTAGAGTCATCCGCATAAAGGAACGATTGCAAGAGCAAGCATCTTTCATATCGTTTATATACAGTAAAAACCATAGAGGCCCGTGCACGCTCCCCTGCGGAACGCCACAACTCATTGGTTTTGCCTGAGACAGTGACCCATTAACCTCTACTGTACCTTAACTGTACCTCTGAGGTAGTCTGTGTGAGTCTATACATGATACTGTACCTCTGAGGTAGTCTGTGTGAGTCTATACATGATACTGTACCTCTGAGGTAGTCTGTGTGAGTCTATACATGATACTGTACCTCTGAGGTAGTCTGTGTGAGTCTATAGCTGATACTGTACCTCTGAGGTAGTCTGTGTGAGTCTATAGCTGATACTGTACCTCTGAGGTAGTCTGTGTGAGTCTATACATAATACTGTACCTCTGAGGTAGTCCCTGTCGGTATGTCTGACTGCTGCTCCCGCTATTCCTCCAGGTGGGCGTTCACCCTGATCATCATCTCGTCCTACACGGCCAACCTGGCTGCCTTCCTCACCGTCCAGAGGATGGAGGTGCCCATCGAGTCAGTGGACGACCTGGCTGACCAGACGGCCATCGAGTACGGCACCATGCACGGGGGATCCACCATGACCTTCTTCCAGGTGAAGGGCACACACACATACATTCCACCCACACGGCTCCTTCCACTATAATAGATGACCTGTCACTGATCTTATCTTAGACCCTGTCACCTCACTGTCTGTCCCCCTCTCCACCTCCACCTCCATGACTTATCTGTTTCCTGTCTGATTGTCAATATCCTCTTCCCCCTGAAGGAAAGCTCAGTGCTGCACCTGGAGAGATAGGCAGTGTGGGTCAGCTGCTGACTTTCCCTGTCCATCTATGTAGCAGGCCTCAAAGGAGGCTTTCACCTGTCAAAGAGAAAGAGAGAGGGGGGGGGGGGGGTATAGAAAGACAGAGAGAGGGACCAAGAGAGAAAGACAGAGACAAAGACAGAAAGAGAGACAGTCAGAGAGAGAGGGAGCTCCTCTCTCTCCTTTAGATTCCTATGGGGCCTCTTTTGTGCTCCAGAGCCCAAAGCATGCCCTCAGATCAGACCAGATCTGACCGTGCTTCTCCCTCTTCTTGTCACGTCCCCCTATATCACAGAACTCGCGCTACCAGACATACCAACGCATGTGGAACTTCATGCACTCCAAGCAGCCCAGTGTGTTTGTGAAGAGCACGGAGGAGGGCATCGCCCGCGTGGTCAACTCCAACTATGCCTACCTACTAGAGAGCACCATGAATGAGTACTACCGCCAGCGCAACTGTAACCTCACCCAGATAGGAGGTCTGCTGGATACCAAGGGCTACGGCATCGGCATGCCAGTGGGTAAGTGTAGAGGGTGGAGGGAAGATGGGTAGGAGAGAAGGGGATGGAGGAGAAGGAGGGGTGGGTAGGTAGGAGAAGGAGAGAGTACCAATTGTAACCTCACCCAGATAGGCCTGTTGGATACATCGGCATTGCAGTGGGTAAGAGAAAAGACAGAATTTACACGACTCCAACTGGAGCGGGCATTTTATTGGCAAATGTATGGGTTTTCTCTGCTCACTCTCCTTAGTGCAGTGTTTATGAAAAGGAAATGCTGTCACTGCATCACTTCCAAAGTCCATGAACAGTGGAGCAAACTGGAATGAGTGAAATTATTTTCAGCGACTTTTGGTATGGAATGGAGTTTGCTTGAAAAATCTATATTTTATTGTTCAAAGTCAAACCAACAAATACATAGGTCATAGGAAGGTTACGTTTACGCACACACATATAGACTAGCACTTCTTGTAAACTGTACTCATCATAATACATAAAAACACATGCTACAGGAAACTTTACAGGAATATAACTAGATGCTCACTCATTGACAAGATGGTCTTTGCAGGGCTGTGACCCTCTGTACATCTCCTCCCTCCTCAGGGTCACTGTACCGGGATGAGTTTGACCTTGCCATCCTCAAGCTGCAAGAAGACAACCGTCTAGAGATCTTGAAGAGGAAATGGTGGGATGGTGGCAAGTGTCCAAAGGAGGAGGATCACCGTGCCAAAGGTGCCATTACTCCTCCATCTGTCATTCTCTCTCTCTCTCTATCCATCCTTCCCCCTTGTCCTCCCCTCTCATCTTACTCACCCTATTTAGACAGGTGTAGTATCAGGGTCACTGTGATGCCGACTGTGGTGTGTGTGTGTGTGTGTATGTTTGTGGTGGTGGGGCGTGGGCATGTGTGTGTATACAGTATATGTGCATTGTATTTGTACGTGCGTTTGTGACTCTCTCTTTCTCTATTTCTCTCTCTCTGTCTCTCTCCCTCTCTCCCTCCCTCTCAGGGCTAGGCATGGAAAACATAGGCGGTATCTTCGTGGTGCTGGTGTGTGGTCTCCTGGTGGCCATCTTCATGGCGGTGCTGGAGTTTATGTGGTTTCTGCGGCAGACGCCCGGAACAGAGGTGAGAGAGGGCTATTTTACCTGCATCTGCTTTGTCTCCCTCTCCCCTCCCTGATGCTCTCTTCTCCCAGACCCAGCTCAACTCCAGGAGCAGCAAGCCCCACAAGCCCCACTATGCTGCCTCATACAGGGGGATCACACCGCTGCCTATCCCTGCCAGCCCCTTGCCGAGTGAGCGCCATGCCTTTATTTGCCTCCGAGACCTTACAGCACAAAGCCAAAGATAATACCTCACATACAGTATCTAACTATCTATCTACAGGTCTTTATGTAGGAGACCTCAGCTGTCTCCACTGGTAGTGAATGTGGCTTCAAATGCTGTGCTTTTATTCTTGAACAACCTAAAATCCGCCCCCTTTGAATGAACATTTGAATGAGACGTAGTTTTGTGGTTTGAAATGGATTTAATTTCAGTTTCTGCTGTATTTTTTCTGTCATGTTTTTCTTTACGAAATATGATTGTGTTTTCAATTGGATTTGTTCCCGATACAACACTGTGATAAATATTTCAAAATAAACCAGCATGTGTACAGAAAAGCCTATGCCACCTGACTTATTTTTTGGGGGACTAGGAAACAATCAAGTTAGTGTGTATGCATACAAACTGTCTATCTATCTAAGTGCGTATTTGGATTGACTTGTTTGATTTTTGTCAGTTATAATGGCATGGCTCATAGCCCATGTTCCCTTCTATTACATTGCACAAAGGGAGATGCCTTGGCCAACACAGTTGGAAAGTTGGACTGTCTGACTACAGCTCACTGTGATGTGTGATTATCATGTCTTTCTCTGTTCTCCTCACCCTGACTTAGTCTAGTCCACACTGACACTGTGTGATTTCATTGGGAGAGGAGGAAAGGGACACCAGCACACACAGATACAGTAACACCCATTGAATGCAGTTTGAGCAATATGGGCAATGCAGGGCAGGGATTAGTCTTATGTTATGGAGATGAGAATGGCTCATTTTACAATGGAACCAATATTTCACAATCATTTCATATAATATATAAGAATGTTAAACAATTTAGAGGAAATATGTCAATACTTAACCATCAAGTACCGTATAGAATGTTGTACAGTTGTCTGTTTTTCTTTGAAGACCCTAGGTTGTTGTTGTATTTTCTCAACAATCTACGTCTTAAGTTCCTTTTGTTAGATATTGTCACATTTAAATGTCCAGTACATCCTATTCTATCCTATTTGTGAAGCTGTTGTCTGTCAGTCCGTCTGTCCATCAGTCTCTGATCTTGCAGTGTGTCAGTGAGATCTCCCGGTCTCTCTCTCTTCCCTCTCTCTCCCTGTGTGTGTTGCAGCTGTCGGTGTGTGAGGAGATGCTACGGGAGCTCCAGGGGATCGTCCTGTGCCGGGACAGCCTACAGCTGAGGCGTCGGCGGGGGACGACCATGCTCCGTCCTCGCCCCCTGCCCCTGGAGGAGCGACGGGCACGGGCCGCCGCCGTCAGCCTGAGCAATGGCAAGCTGTGTGGCGCTGCTGCCAGCCTGCCCCTCTCCGAGCCCCTCTCCCACAGACTGGCGCAGGAGGCGGCTTTAGTGGCACAGGGCTGCAGCCACATCCGCATCTGCCCCGAGTGCCGGCGCTTCCAGGGGCTGCGCGGCATGCGTCCCGGGGGAGGCCCCAGTCACGGCGCCTCTCCCACCCACAGCGAGGAGAGCATAGAGTGGGAGAAAACTACCAACAGCAGCGAACCCGAATAACAATGAACCCCCTTTTGACCTAGACAACCCCTTTACCTACCTAGACCACCACACACCCACTGTACTACTGTACCCAGTAGGCACCTCTCCACGGGGGCAACAGGGAGCATGTGGTACTGTGACAGGAGCTAATTTGGTCCTGGTGCTTTTGATTTGGGAGGACGGCGGCTGGGGCATTGGCTTTGGCTGTGGACATTTTGGGCACGTCCCCCCTGGAAGGGATCTTTGAGTTGTGGAGCTCTGGAATGATGCCCGGGGCTTAGTGATGGAACTCCTGTTGGACATGTCAATAGCGACTACCAGAGAATGTCCGTGAGAGGGGACACGACCTCTCTGTATGGGCAGTCTGTCTCGAAGGCCATATGCCCTGTCTAGGATGTGAAGGACACAGGTTATGGGGCATTTGTACTATGCAGTATTTTCCGTCACTCATTGTGCTAATTGTTGATTTGTTTTTAAATTATTTATCCTTTTGTTGTGGTCTTGATATTGATCATATTGTTACTATTCTATTGTTCTCTGAGACGATACGATGTTTTCTTTTCTCGAGAACCGTGGACATTATTGCCTTTTCAGAGCTACAAACAGAGAACACATAGAAAAAGACTTCCAATTCAGCATCATTCTTTGAAAGTGCCCCCAGAAAATATGATCTTGAGCGATGGGGACGCACCACGGCCTTGAGACGACGCCGACAAAGAGAACTGAACATAAAAACAAACACAATGATTTGTTTTATAATAGTGACTATATTCTATACGAAAATATGTTTTAAACGTATTTCTGAAAGACAGCAACGCATGTCAGCAGGTATGATGCTGATGATTGGAGGGGAGAATGAGTTTCCCGTTCAAACGATTTGCCCAGAGACACAAAGAACCCCAATATAATCAGGAATAGTCCTCATTCATTCCCTTTGCTCATGTGTGGTACCTGTCTCTTAATATTGCCCCTAGTTCACGAGTCATAACCAACACTAGGTACCACATCATACCACCATTTTGAGTTTCTTCCCATTGCCCACTGTGGGATACAGTCTCATATGAATCCCATATACTGTAAGAGATTGGTATTGGTTCACTATTCCCAATTTGTGCTCTCCATTCAACTCGCTCTCTTTGTCATCGTACTGCACCATTGCCTCGACATGACCCAGACACACACTCATGCACGCGCGCAGGAACGCACACACTCACACATGCAGGCACACAGGCATGCGCACACACACACACACACACACACACACACACACACACACACACACACAGACACAATACACACACACAATACACACAGGCAATGCAGATAGTCACACTGCAGAGGTAGTCATACTGAGATGGTGGCATTAGGGAAGAATTCAACACATTCCAGAACAAATTAAAACTGAACGCTCCCAGTAAATGTTTTTACAGGAATTTTACTTTGATTATTAAAAACTCCACCCAAAATGAAACATTGTCTGACGTTTTCATAAGTCTGAGGGGTTTGAAGTCTTTTATGTGGCATTTATTCCTGGATCACCATTTGTTTTGTAAAATTCTGCAAAATGCATTTCGAAAAATGATATGGTGCCAATTATTCCCATTAATTTAGGACATAGGCCTGCAGATTGCTCAAGGCTTACAAACCTCCATTTTGGGGTGAGCTATCCCTCTAACCATCAACAGAGACCCTCAGTGCAAGATCTGGGTCATATTAATTTGGCACCAAACGGAACAAAAAGGACTGAAACAAGACTTGAACTTGTCCAATAAGAAACGCTCATTTTCATTTTCCTTAGCTTTTTTTTATTTACGCTGATTTATTCAATGCACCATATCGCAAATTCATCGATGTAGCATGTAATGTTACTCATTTTCCTTTTATACGTTGCTGGTGGTGTCCTTGGGGTTCATTGTTTTGGCTGTGCTTTTCTACTAAATTGACAAAAATGAGTGGGCGACAGTGAACAACTATGTTCTGTCTTTCAACATTAGGCTTTGATGGATCCGTCTCCTTGACAATGCCCAAAGGGTGTGCCACTCATATGTTAAGAGTGCCTGAAACCAGGCCATCTTGACGAAGTATTCGATTGGAGCCATCCAGGTATGTCAGCTTCATTTGTATTTGTCACATCTACTCTAAAACCTGGACCTTAAATCTGAAAGGACTCTAAACATTAAACATTTTACCGACCCCACTGCAGTGACCACAACTTTGAATACCACTTTTTAAGAACGTTCTCTTGCTTCAATGCTAGAAAATCAGGAACCAATGCCACCACACTCAACAAATATGAGGTTCATATTCCCCAGTAAAAGTCCCTCAATTAAACCAAATATGGTGTTGCAACTTAATAATTCCTTTACTTGTGGTATGCACAGCCATACTATTCCTTAGTTTGATTTTACAAATAGACTTGGGATCATCATCTGTTTTCAAAGGATTCGATTTCTTCTCAAATGTCTGTTCATTTTACCTCTAGAGACCAGTCCGACATTTTTCCATACAATGTCAATAAATTATGTTTTATGCTCTACAAGAGGTTTTACCCTGTGAGTGAAGTCGTCCTGGTTTTGCTGTGTGACTATTCTCTGAGAGGTGTTTGCTGTACAGTGTGTTTGTTTTCGAGCTCCTATAGATACAGAGAGAGAGGGTAAAGAAAAAGCTGTACAGCGCACATTTTTATCTAATACAGAGGGTATAGTGTCAGCCTCTTATGGAACATTAATGTCATAGGTGTGTAAATACAGAATGCTCAACCAGGGTTTCCCAGTGGAGGTTCCAGGGGCTCTCGATTTCTACAAGCCCTCAGCTTAACCAGTATCCACATCAAATTGAACTTTTGTGAACACACACACATCCACATACAAGCACACACATACTGCACACAAGTCTACAGGCACGATGAGTAATGATACATTCAAAAATTCAATTAGCAGGTTTATTATAAAGAGATGATATGTAGTTGCTAGGTCACAGAGGTTGCATTCCAAATGGTACTCTTTTGCTATTCCCTGCTCTGGTCAAAAGTAGTGTGCGCTATATAGGGAATGGGGTGCCATTTGGGACGCACACTGAGACAACGTGGCGTCAGCTGGATGAACTCCCAAGTTTAGGGAATGGATAGTGGGATTCTGTGCTCCCAACTTTTATGCATTGAAAACATTTACAGACGTTAAATCAAGTGTAGTTGGAATAAGATTGCCAATTACCTTGAAGGCTAAAGGGAGTTGAATTGGAATGCTGAGGCATCGTCACGTAGAAGTAGCACTCTGAGACTTTCACTGGGAGACCCTGTGTGGGATGGCAGGATTTGGCTGCTATATTTTATATGCTTTATTTTCTTATGTTGTCATTTTTATTCCACTATAAATACATTTCTTAAAACATAAATCACTGTTCTGAGGGTTTCCTGTAAGTCCTATTGTCTTTATTCAACATTGTAAGGCCATGCAAAATGTTTACACGTATGGTGAATAATATTCCCAGTTATATAGGCAGGTATCCTAGCGGTTAGAGGGGCGAGCCAGCAGCCGGAGGGTTGCCAGATCGAATCCCGGGTCCGACAGGAAAAATCTGGCGGGAAGTGAGCTGGCAACCGAAGGGTTGCTGGTATCAAATCCTAGATGCCATTGCCTGCCGTTGTGCCTTTGAGCAAGGCACTTAACCCCCCACAACAACAGCTCCCCGGGCATCCAGTGTGGCAGCCCCCGCACTGCTCCAAATCCTGTATACAGTGCCTTGCAAAAGTATTCATCCCCCTTGGCGTTTTTCCTATTTTGTTGCATTACAACCTGTAATTTAAATGGATTTTTATTTGGATTTCATAATAATAATAAGCCATTTAGCAGACGCTTTTATCCAAAGCGACTTACAGTCATGCGTGCATACATTTTTGTGTATGGGTGGTCCCGGGGATCGAACCCACTACCTTGGCGTTACAAGCGCCGTGCTCTACCAGCTGAGCTACAGAGGACCACATGTAATGGACATACACAAAATAGTCCAAATTGGTGAAGTGGAATGAAAAAAATAACTCGTTTTAAAAAATTCGAAAAAATAAACTACAGAAAAGTGGTGTGTGCATATGTATTCACCCCCTTTGCTATGAAGCCCCTAATTAAGATCTGGTGCAACCAATTACCTTCAGAAGTCACATAATTAGTTAAATAAAGTCCACCTGTGTGCAATCTAAGTGTCACATGATCTGTCACATGATCTCAGTATATATACACCTGAGTCTGCAACACCACTAAGCAAGGGGCACCACCAAGCAAGTGGCACCATGAAGACCAAGGAGCTCTCCAAACAGGTCAGGGACAAAGTTGTGGAGAAGTACAGATCAGGGTTGGGTTATAAAAAAACATCAGAAACTTTGAACATCCCACGGAGCACCATTAAATCCATTATTTAAAAAATTTAAAGAATATAGCACCACAACAAACCTGCCAAGAGAGGGCCGCCCACCAAAACTCACGGACCAGGCAAGGAGGGCATTAATCAGAGAGGCAACAAAGAGACCAAAGATAACCCTGAAGGAGCTGCAAAGCTCCACAGCAGAGATTGGTGTATCTGTCCATAGGACCACTTTAAGCCGTACACTCCACAGAACTGGGCTTTACGGAAGAGTGGCCAGAAAAAAGCCATTGCTTAAAGAAAAAAATAAGCAAACACGTTTGGTGTTCGCCAAAAGGCATGTGGGAGACTCCCCAAACATATGAAAGAAGGTACTCTGATCAGATGAGACTAAAATTTAGCTTTTTGCGCCATCAAGGAAAACGCTATGTCTGGCGCAAACCCAACACCTCTCATCACCCCGAGAACACCATCCCCACAGTGAAGCATGGTGGTGGCAGCATCATGCTGTGGGGATGTTTTTCATCAGCAGGGACTGGGAAATTGGTCAGAATTGAAGGAATGATGGATGGCGCTAAATACAGGGAAATTCTTGAGGGAAACCTGTTTCAGTCTTCCAGAGATTTGAGACTGGGACGGAGGTTCACCTTCCAGCAGGACAA